ACACATAAGCAAATGTTTGCAAGAGGAGTTGTAGGAAATACTATACTTCTGAATATTTCTAAGTTCCTGTAGAAAATTAGAGCTTTACTAAAACTAAAAATAGATATACCCTCTTTATATTAATAATATTCCTGAGCAGTTTTTCCTCATTGAGATACATATGTATTCTTCTTATCATGCCACCAAAGGTCTTCAAATTTCCTCTTATAGATGTAAAAGAAAACTTGGGTTTTTCTTCTTCATCTTCTCATTGGTACCAGTTCTTTTCAGCAGCAGATATAGCTTTCATTATAAAATAAAAGGATGAGGGGCTTCTTCTAAAGGCTGCTCAGGGGATGTCAATCTCATCTAAAGCATTAGGATTACAAGAAGCCAGGCTTCAGGGTCTCTCTCAGTTTAAACATTCTTAGAATATTTTAACTTCCTTTGCTTACCTCCCACCTTCATGTTATTTTTGTCATATATTTTATTTTATATATTTTATTTTTTTAAATTATCTTTATTGTTGGGAGTATTATAGATGTCTCCCTTTTTCCCCCCATTGGTCCCCTCCACCCTGCTCCCAACCCCGACCCAGGCCTTTACCCCACTATTGTCTGTGACCATTGGTTATGCTTATATGCATGTGAGTTCTTTGGTTTATCTCTTCTTGCCCTCTCTCCCCCCTTCCCTCTGCGATTCATCACATGACACATATTATTATTGTTATTTTGTATAGTCAATATGCACTTATATTTACTTACTCATTTCCTTTCATTTCTATGCTTCCATATGAAATTATTTTCTTTCTTCTTGAAGAAACATATTTCACCTTTGTTTTTGAAAAACAAACAAACAAACAAGAAACTTGTCACTGGGTATGGAATTCTATATTGGCATTTGAAAGATGTCATTATATATATATTTTTTATCTCTGGCTGCTGTTAGAATTTCCTCTGTTTTTGATTTTCAGCAGTTTTACTTTATTGTGTTTAGATATGGTTTTCATTATATTTATTTTGCTTGGGTTTCATAAACGTCTTTAGTCTGCAGATTTATGTCTATCAGTTGGAAAATTCTCAGCTATTATTTCTTCCTCACTCTTCTTTTTGGGAGTTGGGGGCTGGCATGTATTAATTTACTATAGCTATGTAACAAATAACCATCATCTTTTGTCTTTAAATAATACCCATTTATTAGCTAACAGTTCTAAGGTCAGAAGTCCAGATATGGCACGACAAGTTCCTCTCTGCTCTGAGTCTCACAGGCTGAAATCAGGGTGGTTCTGGGAAAGAATCTACTTACTAGCTCATTCAGGTTATTGGCCAATTCAGTTCCTTTGGACTGTAAAAAGTGAGGTCCCTGTTTACTTGCTAGCTGTCTGCTAGGTTTAATTTTAGCTCTTTGAAGCACCCCAATTTTTTGCCACTTGACTCCCTCCATTTCTAAGGTTAGCAACAGAAAATCTCCCTTATCATATACTTTGAATCTCTGACTTCAGAAAAAGCTCAGTACCTTTTAAGGCTTACCTAATTTGAAGAGGTTTACCCTCTCTTTCTTAAAGTCAACTATGCCATATAATATAACTTAGTAAGGCTGTAAAATTCAACAATTCACAATCCTAGGTATTATGCAGGCTTTATACAATGTAAAGGGGGAGAGGCAGATGACTCTATGGTGCCATCTTAGAATTCTGCCTACCACAGACTACAAATATAGACCTTTCTACTGTGTTGAATACTCTTTTATTATTTTCTCTATTTTTCATCTGTTTGTTTAAATGTAAATATGTTCTGTTGACCTGTCTTATTCTCTATACTGTGTTGTGTATTAACTCATTAACTGAAGTTTTAAGTTTACTCATTGTATTTTTCAGTTCTAACATTTATGTCTTTGTAGTGTCCAAATCCTGTTAAATGTCATATCATTTAAGATATTTTATCCTTTGTATTTTAAAAAATACTAATCAGTTATTTTAAAGTTCCTGCATTAAGTCCACTATCTTAATCAACTATGAGACTACTTATATTTGTTCTTCTCTTAATTTTAAGCTAGTTATTCTTGTCAATTTTCAAGACTTATAATGTTATATTAAGTCCTGAACATTGTGTATGAAAATTATCTTCTAATATAATTATTATTTGGCATCATGTATTTTAAGGCTCTCTTATTATGTGCATAAACATTGATAATTGTCACGTCATCTTGATGAATTGTTCCTTTTATCTTTATAAATTGTCCCTTTCTATCTCTTGTAATACTCTTTTTTTTTTTTATCCTCACCCGAGGATATTTTTCCATTTTTTGTACAGATAGAGTGGGAGGGAGAGAGAGGAAGGGAGAGAGAGAGAGAAACATCGATGTGAAGGGACACATCGAGTGGCTGCCACCCGCACGACCAACCAGGGCCGGGGACAAACTGCAACCGAAGTACGTGCCCTTAGCGGGAACCGAACCCGGGTCTCTCCGGACCGCAGGCCGGCGCTCTAACCGCTGAGCCAAACTGGCCAGGGCTCTTGTAATACTCTTGTCTTTAAGTAATATATTACATTTTATGTATTAAATGGTCAATCTAGTTTTCTCTTGATGACTGTTTCCATGGTGTATCTTATTCCTGTCATTTTATTTTTTAAATATTTGTGTCTTTATATTTAAAGTGTCTCCTGTAGCCAGCATATAATGTGGTTTTGCTTTTTCTTCTATTTTGTTAACCTCTGTCTTTTAATTAGAGTTTTTAGAGTACTGAAATTTATTATAATTATTGATTTGGTGAGTTTAGATCTATCTTTTTTATTATTTGAATTAAATGTATTTTATTATTTCATTTTGATACAACTTTTGGCATTTTGGTTGTATCTCTTTGAATATAATTCCACAGTTCTTTGATCCTCCCAGAGCCTGATATCTTGTGATTCTATAATCTGTTCACTAAACCTTCATATTTTCACTTTTGCCTTTAGTGGGCCTAGGTTCTATGGCCTGCAAATATTTGTTGTATTAGATATCTTTTGTCTGACCTTCAGATCGACTTTTCATCTTTCTTCACCCTCCTCATTGCTCTAGGAGACTGATTTGTAGGATGAGAGCTCCTTTGTTTTCTGGCTTCTGAGTGGATTAAAACAATAAGGAGTTCTAATAGAAAATCAGAAAAATGGGGAAAAACAGTGAAGTCATTTTTTTTTGTTTTGTTCTTTTTTTGGTTCTCTTTCTGACCCATGGACTAATTGCCCGTCTGGACTGTAGGTTTTAGTTTCTTTCAGGGAAGCCTCCACATGACTTTCTCCTTTTGATAACAATTCCTACCCTAAGATCCTTCAGAAAATCCTTTCAAAATAAATGCTAGATCCAGCTATCTTCATCATTTCCTCTGACATTTACCCTGGTCTCAATCACCATTGTCTTGCACTTTTCAATAGCTTTTTAGCTGTTTTCTCTGCTTTCATCTTTACCTTCGTTGACCAGTAGTCTCAATATATCAGCCAAGTGATCTTTTAGAGTGTCATTTATACATCTATCCCTCCAATGGTTTCACATCACTAAAATTTAAAATCAAAGTTCTTAAATTGTCTTGTAATTGTTTACCAGTTTCTGTGTAATCTAATCTTCTTCCATACTTCAATTTTATTTTCTTAGTTTACTTCATGTTCTGCTCCAGTCACATTTTTCTTCTTGCTTTTCTTTGAATTTATCAAGCAAGCTTCAGCCTCAAGGATTTTCAATCTCTCTTTTTGTTTTTGTTTTCCTACTTTGAATATAGTTTTTATCAAATAACTAATGGCTCCCTCCCTTACCTTCTTCAAATCTCTGCTCAGTTTTTACTGAGCCATTGAGGTAGTCACTGATCATGATAAGTTCACCCCCATAACCCTGTATTTTTATTGTATTGTTTAGTATATTTTAGTAACACCTAGAATTATGTTTACTACATAGCCACTAAAAATATGCAGTGGAATGGATAAGTTAAAGTTTGGATATTTGGTTATTTCTTTTCGTTTGTTTTTAGCATATTTAGTAACTAGTAACTCCCTCAAACAAACTGAGATGTTTTTTGGACCATTGATACATGAATCACTCAGATTCCAGCCATCTTTGTTTCCTCCTATACCTTTACTAGTAACCTAGTTCCATATTTCTATTGAATTTATGATAATTTTTTAAACTTAGAATCTTTTCAATAGATTAATAAATTGCTAACTGGTCTCTGTGTCTTCAAACTCTGTTTAGTTCTTAGAAAATATCACTTATTCATTTTTCTTGAATTATCAACCCTACAACAACCACCCCAAATTGTGATTGGCTCCCATTTAGGGCTATATTGTGACTTTCATTGGCCCTAGACACTTTGCCTTTATAAGCAAATTAAATTAAATTAATTAATTAAAAACATTAACATACAATTGCCTTAGTATGAAGACAAATATGACCAGGCTGGATTCATTATTATTACACTCATTTTTTTTCCTTTTAAAAGACACTAAAGTTACAATATTTTTATGTAGCTTTAATGCATCTTGGTTTCTACACAATGCCCACTCTGCCTAACAGATAATAGCCCTGCCATATTACATAAAATTAAAGTCTTATCTTTGCAGTATAGTCACCAAACCTTTCACAGTGGGTAACTGTCCATATTTCAAATCCTAGCTAAAGTTCAATTTTATTTATTACATTACCTTTAACTGCTCTCAATTTATACAGCTCTGCAAAAATTATTTATACAATTAGATATAAATATTTTGGTGGAATTTCTTAAATTACTAGAATTTTTTCTAAGTAACTATAATTATATACACACACACACAAACATATGAATCTTTATTAGGTAAAATAGGTTGTATTTTAGGTAAAATAGGTTGTAAAGTTCCATTTCTAAATGATGACTGACAGATTGACTGTAAGAACATTTTCTATAAAACTGGTTATTCTCCATGTAGTTATTGATTTAATTTTTATTTTACAATAATAAATTTTGATTTATAGCTATATTTCTAAAAGATCATTTTCTATCTAAATTTTCATAGACATATTTCAATTGTTCTTGCATTGATGAAGGATTAACAACCTCAGATGATCAAGGTGATTTTATTGATGCTAGACCTGGGACATGTGATGCAAAGTGCTATAAGTTACCTTTGTTCACTGTTTTTATCTTTTCGACAATGGTATTTGCTGGTTTTTCTGGTATACCAAACATCCTGATCATCCTTCGGTATGTATGTTATTATTCATAATAATAGTCTTTTAATATATAAAAAGTCAATTTTAGGAAGATTTTACAATATTATAATAAATGATTTACTCTGCATCAGGGTAGCAACTTCTAGAGGGGAAATTGTTACATTGTCAAAATTTATGTGTATTTTCTCTATTTTAATGAATATATTTGCATAAAGCCTGTAGATGTCACATTTAATTTAGCTTTGACTTAAAATTAAATTTAAATACTTAATTTACCAGACCTGGAAAATTCATAAATATAGGAAAATTGTTAATTATAACACAGATCTAATTATAATGTTGACTAATTGGTTATAGGTACTTATTGAATATTTACTTCTATATTAGCCAATTTGACTATGAGAAAACATTAGTATCATCAACAAAGGAACATAATTTCAGAATTTTGCTACTTAAGTTTAATACTATTTTAAATTAAAACAATATTTATGTAGTCCATTTAGGTGAGACTCCCAGGGCAGACAGAAGGTAGAGAAAGTGGATCTCACAGGGGCAGAAAGAAGAATCTAAAACAGTGGGTGTGTACACAGAATGAAGAAAGAGAAGCGGAAAAGCTAGTGCTATGTTTTTTTTGTTTTGTTTTGTTTTTTTCTGTTTTTCCCAGGAAGCTGAGGCAGAAGGTTTGGGCCATAACTGCTTCCTCCTTGTGGAGAATGAAAACTTTGGAATTGGTTGGCAAGGGGCAGGATGTGGAGAAATTGGAGGAGTTGTAGTTCTTTAATTTAAGCAGATGAAACTCTGTTAATTGGCCCAAGATTCTTAGTCTAATTCATGGACAGGAAAAAAAAATTAACCTCAAACCTAGAAAATATTCTCTATAGCTAACAATAATGATGTTTAATGATATCGTTGCAATTTGCTTGCAGGATTGTATCTAACAAACAACGTTCTCTGGCCTTGGGTTTGACCTATGTGATTTTGAGAGTTTTTGGTATGGACTTTTAAACCTTTTATTACATTGAAATGTTCATAGTTTCATTTATACATGTGTTTACATGTACATTTATAATTTCAAATAAATAATAATGGTAAACTGAAACAAAACAAGTGAATGGGGGAACTGCTTTGCAGAATTTAGGCGACAACACAATGTAAAAAGATAATACCTAATGTAAAGCTCATCTTGTCATATAAAATATACATTAATATTGTACTCAATTAGAAGAAATAATCTATTTGATCAGGGGTATGTTCATCAAGTTCATATAAGTGGTTTAGTAAGCTGAAATAAAACATATAAGCATAGCAATTATACATTGCTTCATATTTGTAAAGTTAGTAACCTAGTCTAGTGCTTTTAAACATTTCATCACCAAAGTCACTGAATCTGATGTTTTTAAGGATTTCTACCCAAAAACAAATTAGTTTCACTGAGGGTAATACACTCTGTATTCCAGGCTTTCTTAAAATATAAAAAACTAGCTTTCAAATCCACACTATGACTATATTAGGGCACTGATTCAACAAACTGATTGAAAACATTAGTGAGATAAGGAAACAAGATCGGACGGGATTGAAGACTGAAAGACATATCCTAAATGGAGTCAAGAGAAATTGCTCTATAGCTATATCAGCAGGTATGGTTAAACTTAGCTTTAATTGGGAAAAATTGAAGGATTTTTTAATGGTGAACATTGATCCACTAGGATAAGAATAGATTTGTAATGAAACAGGGAGCATAAGAAACAAAGACTACATAGTTTTCCACATCAGAAAGAAACCCAGTGGAACTGATACATTTTTGTATGGGAGCGGGTAGAATAAGATATTTTAGGTATAGCCTGTCTGTAGACAGGGCTTTGCCATCAGAGAATTTTAAGCAAAGGGTAGATATTATCTGATTTACATTTAAAAGGTAACTCTGCTGCTGGAGGGAGAAATACTTGATGGAATACAATGTGGAGAAAAAAAAATGGTAGCTTCTGTTAAAATATGTCATAGTCACATTAAATTGGATTCTGGGGGTAGTGGTAGAGAAATAAACACATTCAATATATGTATGGAGTTAGGGTTACAAAGATTTTTTGTGAATTGGAAAAATATTGTGGGAAATAGAAAAAATGCATAGTAGTCCTAGGATTTTTCACCTTGAGCAATTATAAACAGCATGCCAGCACTCACTAAGAGGGATTTCTGGTGTTGGATAGGAGTTTTTGGCAGGAATTAGAGTTGTGAGGCATGAGGGCTCTGATAATTTGTTAAGGAAGACATGGTCAATCATTAGACATGTTAGTGCTGAGAACCTGATTCTGATGTCTTTGAGGTGGGTTTTAAAAAAAATGACTTCATTCAATTTAGCTGTAAGTGACATTGTTGCTGAAAAGAGACTGTCTCTGAGAGTATATAGAGGCTTTCCTCAGGCAGCAAGCAGCATGCAACTGTTCTGTGGCTATGAGGTCATTTAAATCTAGGATACTATTAGCATACCAAAGTGTCTACACTTTCAATTATTTTTCTCAAGATCTTAATAAATAACAGATACACATTAGATAGTGAAATTAATTTTCCAGTTATTAAAAATTTCATAATTTGAATTTTTTGGAGTAACACTGAGTTCTTAAAATCAATATTTAGTATCTCTGTTTGAAATACGTTCTCTTGAATTTTTTATTAAAAAATTAATAAGTTTTGAGATGTCAACTAAATAACATGCACACCATTCTGAAAAGATGCAAATCTACTAATTTTTTATACTTATGGGGATAATGATTTTTGAAAAACATATTTTCTAGTTATTAGCAATACTATCTATAAGTGAATTCTTAGATCATTTTATTGTATTTTTAAGTTTTTATTTATCCATTTTAGAGAGGAAGGGACAAAGGGAGGAGGGGGGGAGAGAAATAGAGATCAATTTGTTGTTCCACTTATTGAAGTGTTTATTGGTTGCTTTTTGTATGTGCCCTGACTGGGAATGATGTTCTAATCAAGTGAGCTGCTTGGCCAGGACCAATCCCTGGATAATTTTAAATTATATGTTTATAGTGATGATGACTAAATATATATGTATGTTTAATTTTAGGATAAAAACTATTTGATCCCAACTTATAGTGTTTTCATGGAGAATTTACAACCACTGTATTTTTCATAGGAACTATACCTGGACCATCCGCTTTTAAAATGGTAGGAGAAAGCTCTTGTGTCTATCGGGATAGTGAATACTGTGGAAACACAGAGAATTGTTGGATATATAACCCAACAAAAATGGCCTACCTATTTTTAGGAATGTGTAAGTGATATCTATTGAAGAAATGTAGAGAGATAAAGTTCTTTTAGAACCTTAGTATTGTTTACAGTAAGGTACAGTAAATGATGAACAAATGGATACTTTGATGATTAAAGAAGCCTTACATTATTATACAGAAAATATTTTGGAAACTAAAGTACAATAGAATTTATGTAAGTATTTGAGTTATTGCATTAAATACACAATTGTATGTTTTTCCTGAGTAAAGGGTAATAATTATTAGAATTTCAATTTGGGAAGTAATTTTGCCTGAATACATATACAGAGTAGGGCAAAAGTAGGTTTACATTTGTTCCTATGGAAAATAATACAATAATTAATAATAATACAAAAATAAACTATTTCATGTACTCACAACTGTAAACCTACTTTTGCCTCACTTTGTACAATCAAGTTGTTTAACCTTGTGACCCTTTCCATTGCCACAGTAAAAATTGGATGATTAAAAAAAAATTTTTTTTGCAGCACTAAAGAGCACCAACATGCTTTCACCCCACTTAAATGTAAATTTCACATTGTCTCATGCTCAATGATATAACAATAGTTAGCACATAACAAACATTCCGTATTTATTGACCAAATAAGAAATATAGGGAATCAAGATACTATGGTGGTGTAAACTATGGCCAAAGTATTAAAAAAATATAGACACGGTTGCATTACTTTGGAAAATTCACTGGATTTCTGCATTTCAATTTATACATCTGCAAAAGGAGGATTTTGGACTACATAATTTCTGAAGTCTTAATCATTATTAAAATCGAATGATTTTATTGTGTAGATGCTATTTGTGTGATAAATATTTTAAAGTGCTTATTATATGTTTTGTGATTTACTATGTGGGTTCAGTAATCCAAATAACTACATAATGATAGACTATATTTAACAGTACCAATTATCTGTTTGATAAACAGTATATAGCAATGCCTTCTAATTCAGAAAATAATTATCCAGCAAACGTAGTCAACACTTAATCTGAGTACAGTAAAATTGAAGAAAAATATTAAAAAGTAAAAAATGACATTTAAAAAGTCACAATAACATTTTCAGAGATAATTAAACAAAACCAGGCATTGTTCTTAAGGAAGTCAGTCCTCTTAAAATACTCCTGTGCCATTAAAATTTTATTTTAGATTGAACTATAACACGCTTAACTATTTTGAAACACAGCACAAAGCTGAGAAAGTTGATAAACTACTATAAATCCTGCTAAGGAGCTACTAAAAGGAGATGACAATAATAAAGAACATAGGGAATTAACCGGAAAACTGCATGTTTGCTAAAAATATAGGTTCTAAGGCCTTAAATTAGAATGCTAGAGATTATAGGTAAGGATTTGTATTTTTAATAAAGTACTTTAGGTGGTTTTAACCTCAGTGAATTTAGAAGACAAGTAAGAGACTCCAGAGCTATGCTGTCCAATGTGATACACCTTAACCACATATAGCTATTTGAATTTAAACTAAATAGAGTTCAAAGCAATTAAAAAATCAGTTTTACAGTAACAATAGCAAAATTTCACATGCTTAATGGTCACATTTGAATGCTCTATTGGCCAGTGCAGATGTAGAACACTGCCATTGTCACAAGAAGTTGTATGCATACTATTGCAGAGCAAGGTTTATTCAAAAGGGATCCACAAACCCTAGGAACCCACACTGAACTTTAGTCTATTTTTGAAATTCTAAATTTTTATTTGTACATTTTATGTCCAAAAATTTCCCCTTGTGGAGGAAGGCGATGGCATTCACCAAAAGTTTTATCACTCAAAAAAGTTGGTTAAACATTTGTTAAACCAATCCTCAATTTCCCTTTGGTAGCAAGAAAATTCTTCTGATCTTTCTCTTACTCTTGTTTTTATTAGAATGACTTATTACATACCTTTTACCTCAAATGAAAGATTCAGCTCTCTTTGTTTTTTCTTTAATGAATTAATTTATTTTTGTTACAGATGTTTCTCCTTTTTCCCCCACTGATTCTCCCCTCCCTCTTCTCCCCACCCTGTCCCCAGCGTTCTTGTCCATGACCTTCTTCATGCATACATGCATATAAGTTCTGTGGTTTATCTCTCCCCCATCACCCCCTATTCTGGGGATTGTCAGTCTGTACCCCACTTCCCGTTGCTGGGACTACCCCATTTTTCAGACTGTTATGTTCATTATATTCCACAAATAAGTGAGATCATATACTTGTCTTTGTCTGACTTGTTTTGCTTAGGATAATACTTTCCAGGTCCCTCCATGTTGTCTCAAAGGATAAGAGATCTTTCTTTCTTACAGCTGTATAGTACTCCATTGTGTATATGTACCACTGCTTTTTTATCCATTCGTCTACTGATGGACATTTGGGCTTTTTCCAGATCTTCGCTATTGTAAATAGGGCTGCTACGAACATGGGTGTACATATGTTCTTCTGATTGGTGTTTCAGGCTTCTTAGGGTATATTCCTAGAAGTGGGATCACTGGGTCAAATGGCAGTTCAATTTTTAATTTTTTGAGGTAACACCATATTGTTTTCCATAGTGGCTGCACCAGTCTGCATTCCCACCAGCAGTATACTAGAGTCCCCTTTTCTCCATACCCTCGCCAACACTTGTTGTTTGATGATTTGTTGATGGCGGCCATTCTGACAGGTTTGGGGTAATACCTCATTGTCGTTTTCATTTGCATCTCTCTGATGATTAGTGATGTTGAGCATTTCTTCCTATGTCTCTTGACCATTTGTATGTCCTGTTTGGAGAGGCGTCTATTTAGTTCCTCTGCCCATTTTTTAATTGGGTTCTTTGTCTTCTTTTTGTTGAGTTGTGTAAGTACTCTCTATATATTGGAAATTAACCCCTTATCTGATATATCATTGGCAATTATGCTCTTCCATACAGCGGGTTGCCTTTCCATTTCGATGATTGTTTCTTTTGCTGTGCCGAAAATTTTCAGTTTGATGTAGTCCCATGTGTTCATTTTCTCCTTTGTTTCTGTTGTCTTTGGTGATGTATCAGTGAGAATTCAGCCGCAAATGATGTCTGAAATATTGTTGCCTATAGTTTCTTCTAGGATTTTTATGGATTCATGAGTCACATTTAAGTCTTTTATCCATTTTGAGTTTATTCTTGTGTATGGTGTAAGTTGATCGTCTAGTTTCATTTTTTTTGCATGTAGCTGTCCAATTTTTCCCAACACCATTTATTAAAGAGGTTGTCTTTACTCCCCTGTATGCTCTTGCTTCCTTTGTCAAATATTAATTGAACATATTGCCTTGGGTCCAATTCTGGGTTCTCTGTTCTTTTCCACTGGTCTATATGCCTGTTCTTGTGCCAGTACCAGGCTGTTTGATTACAGTGCCTTTATAGTATAACCTGAAATCTGGTAATATGATTCCTCCAACTTTGTTCTTTTTCAAGATTGCTGTGGCTTTTTGAGGTCTTTTTTGGTTCCATCTGAACTTTTGAAATATTTATCCTAGTTCTGTAAAGTATGTTGTTGGTATTTTGATGGGGTTGCATTGAATGTAGATTGCTTTGGGTAGTATGGACTTTTTAATGATGTTGATTCTTCCAATTTATAAACAAGATATGTGCTTCCACTTTTTTTTTTTTTTTTATCCTCACCCGAGGATATTTTTCCATTTTTTGTACAGATAGAGTGGGAGGGAGAGAGAGTGAGAAACATCGACGTGAAGGGACACATCGAGTGGCTGCCACCCACACGACCAACCAGGGCCGGGGACAAACTGCAACCGAAGTACGTGCCCTTAGCGGGAACTGAACCCGGGTCTCTCCGGACCGCAGGCTGACACTCTAACCGCTGAGCCAAACTGGCCAGGGCTGCTTCCACTTTTTTATATCTTCCTCTATTTCTTTTTTCAATGACCTGTAGTTATCTGTGAATAGGTCCTTTATTTCTTTGGTTAAGTTTATTCCTAGGTATCTTAATTTTTTTGCTGCAATGGCAAATGGGATTTTTTTTTTAGTTTCTCTTTCTGTGAGTTCATCATTGGTGTATAAGAGTGCCATCGATTTCTTGACATTAATTTTGTATTCTGCTACTTTGCCAAATTCATTTATTAAGTCTAGTAGATTTTTGATGGAGTCTTTGGGGTATTCTACGTATAGTATTATGTCATGTGTAAATAATGATAGTATCATTTCCTCCTTTCCCATTTGGATTCCTCTTATTTTTTCCTCCTGTCTGATTGCTGTGGCTAAGACTTCCAATACTATGTTAAATAAGAGTGGTGAAAGTGGGCATCCTTGCCTTGTTCCTGTTCTTAAGGAAAATGCTTTTAATTTTTGCCCATTGAGTATGATGTTGGCTGTAGGTCTTTCATATATGGCCTTTATTATGTTGCGATATGATCCCTCTATTCCCAGATTGCTGAGGATTTATATCAGAAATGGGTGCTGCATTTTATGAAATGCTTTTTTAGCATCTATTGATATGATCATATGATTTTTATCTTTCATTTTGTTTATATTTTGTATCACATTTATTGATTTGCGGATATTGTACCAGCCTTGCATCCTGTTCAGGATTTTGGCATTCATGTTCATCAGGGATATTGGTCTGTAGTTTTCTTTCTTTATAGTGTCTTTTTCTGGTTTTAGAATTAGAATTATGTGGGCCTCATAAAACGATTTGGGAAGTCTTCCTTCTTCTTGAATTTTTTGAAATAGTTTGAGGATGATGGGTATTAGTTCTTCTTTGAATGTTCCATAAAATTCTCCCATGAAGCCATCCGGGCCCGGGCTTTTGTTTGCTGGGATAGTCTTGATTACATCTTCAATTTCTTCTGTTGTTATTAGTCTGTTTAAGTTTTCTATCTCTTCCCGGTTCAGTTTTGTGAGACTATGTGTTTCTAGAAAATGTTCCATTTCGCTTAG